AAGCTGGCTCGATACATCTTGATCTATCCCTCTCCATGCAGTGTACGAGACGAGGAAAACATGAACACGGTGGAAATTTGAAAACAGCCGAATAGGTTTCTGATGAGAAACATAAATACGTAATAAGAGGAGGCATCGATTAGCTGGTTTCGGTGTACGGAAACATTAAAGTGGCATGTGAATGGAACAATTCATTTAGCATGAAACTTACAATGTGGGCCATACAGTGGTTTGATGAGTAGACTGGTCGGTTTGACCGGAAACCGAGTGGCGCTCCTCGTGACTCTGGTTGCCCGGAGGTGGTTCGGTGCATTGTTGAAATACCGAGTGGTGTTTCGCAAAACGTAAAGTGCTGCTGACGGTATGCTGATGACGCAGTGATAGGACACGACGAATCAGGGCTATTTCGCTTATAGTCGCTCCACAGTCGGTGACCAGTGCGTGAATAGCCGTATCGACTTCAGTAAACAGACAGATTGGATCATGACACAAACGTTGGCGCGTGTTGAGTGAATCACTTCGTTGATCCGCTTGAAGTACAATGGCCCCTTTCAGAAAGAAACATGAAGCGTAAGATGACAAAAACAGGCCAAGTAAGTGCATGGCTTTATTTGAAAGCATTTCTGGCGAAAACGGTAAACATATTTCAGTTAGCAACCATTCATATCAAGTGTTTTTCAAGTCACTTGGCATGTTACTAGGATACATCGATTCAGTAAACTTCAAATCGTACAACCACGAACTTTCGTGTGCCCTTTTGGTTGTCTATTTGGAGGAACATCAGGAGAAAGACAAGAAAGTTGAAAGTAGAGTCGAAGAGAAAATGAAGAATTTTATTGGACTAATGTTACAAAGAAATTGCGACAATGTCCGAACGCCACTGTTTACGACACTCAGTAATATCACTCAGTGTCTCTGACCACCAGTTACTATCGTCCCGAGGTCCCCAGGCGGAGAGCCTAACGTGACTTATGTGACCCAGACTCCTGGTTAGGGTTTTCATACCCTCGTGCCAGGTCTTAGCTTGATCACGCTCGGCTTTTTTGCATCCATTACCTGCCTCGGCGAACGTCACCCGCCGTGGCAACCTATTCGGTGACATGCGTAACACGTGCCCTAACCACATGCTCCAGTAGGTGATCGCGATTATCTAAAACTCTACGCCTAAGATACACAGATTTCAAAATATCGATAAAATTAATACTAAATCTACTTGATACGATCTTCATTGCTTTTTGATATAATTCCATGGATCTAGACGGACTATTCTGAAGTAGATTTCTCACTGGATCTCAGCTTTGAAATCGAAAATCGAATTAATCACGAAATGGATCTGAAGCAATCGACTTACAGCTCTGATAAACAACTGTTACATGGCAAACACTCGTTCTCGTTCGTAATGGTCAGAGTTGATGAATCAAAGTTAGTTTCTTCAAACAACAACCGGAATTTACAAGTGTACACAAAATAGAAAGCAGTGTGTCCGTCATAAAAAGGAATGGTGCAGCCGAAAACACAAGCTTATCTTGGTGGATTAACTCTCGCTCACCTTGTTCCAGATAACGACGACATTCGACCACGGCTTGAAACGTTAACGGCGGACTGTGTGCTTGACCGAATGCCCCAGTGATCGGATCGAAATCCTGCTCATAACGGACCCAACGTGCAGTCTCCAACCACGACCATTTCATTCGATCCAAACCACCAGAGGTCATATTTACAGCCTGCCGGGCTGATTCTGTCACATGGAGCGATGGTGGTGGAATCGGTGTCATCGATAAGCTGGATGTTTTGCGCGAATATGGATCAACTACGGCTGCACAATCCTCAGTCGCCAGAGACCCGGGCTCGATGAGTGGTTTACAATTGAGGATGTCTAATTCGGCAAACACCGGCGGCACATGGTCTAACTGAACCAAAAGGTGATGATTGGAAGTGAATATCTTGTGTTAAAAAGTGCTCTCTGTCTACGCTACAATTGTTATGATTCGACCAGGCAGTGCCGGGATGAGGATTTATTGCTAGTCCNTCCCGGTAAGGGTATCGGTAAATTGGTATACATACGACAACAAAACGTCTCATTGGTAAAAAGGCCGCACAAGCACGCAGGATAATTAATGGAACCATCCGACAATAGATACACATGGCCCGTAGTTACAAAAGTAGATCCTTTAGCCCTTTAGCGAATTCTCTGGGTATCCAATAACCGCTTTTTGGAGCGTGCAAACTATTCACAAAAGCGAGTAATAACTCACAACACAATTATCAAAAGTAAATTAAAATGTTTTCAAACAACTACACTACTTTGGGAGTCAGAAAAGCACTTGGTATTCAAGAATTCGAAGCCTAAACCGTTGAAATAAAAACAAGGATTGATATAAATTATTCAATCTTCCCGGGAAACTCCTGAGGACGTTCACCGTCAACTCGTAGTTCATGGGGCGGGTGCCAATCATTCAACTTTTAAAAGGTTTACAGTTGTACATGAATATTCCCTTTCATTCGAGTGATACATTTCCAAAACTGTTGAGTCTTTTTAAACATATAGTCCACGTTCGTGATAATCAAATTTTATCATGGTTTCGCCTAACTGAAAAGGAGATATGTGGACATGTTGCAACAAGAGCTTTGAAAAATACACCATTCGTTGACGACATACATAATTTACCCCGTTCTCGGATAATGGTTTTTTTCCAGTGATTCAGAATGACGCCAAAATGAGAACAAACAAACGGGTTCTGAGACGAACCACGAATAACTAGCCATCGTACCCGGACCAAATTCACTTTCTCTCTCTCTACCTAGATGAACATGTACACAGAATAGGTCGATACAAACTCAATCAAACTCACCATTGATCCGTCAGATCGTATCAGATGCCGAGCCGCCAGCGGTGACTCAAGCACATTCTCGTTCGGGGCACACACTGTAGCTTCCAGATGACGTGCATTCACTGAGTGGGTACAATATTTGTAGGGAGAGAATTGGAAACAGATTACTGATTTGATTCAGATTTGTCAAATACGTTGGCATTGTTGATCATCAGAAAGGTAGTCTAAGACTGAAATTACCGGAGAGGAATGTTAGGTGTGGAGAACACGAACACCGTTTGATACGAATGCCTAAGCCGACGGCCTCCGAAAAGTGCCCGTTGGAGTGAGGGTGAGCAAGAACTCGTCCGCATGATGAAAACAAGCTTAGATTGAGTGCTTCTTTTAACGCATTCAATGGGAACGTCATGCTTATTGTTCCCCAATGGCGATGGTGTTTAAATGAAATGAGTGGTTAGAAAAAACATCCTATTTCTAATCTTGCAAAAGGAGGCATGCAAACTGAGTGCAAGGTCTCGGCGGTTACGGGCTCAATTGAAAGATAGAGTGGGTTGACCACTCTGGACGTGTGAATATTGTCTAAAGGGAGATGTAATCACCTCACTGCCCACCGGTGTTCTCCAAGGCACCGATTCAAACATCGGACTTTGGATAGTTGAAGGGCGTTGTTGTTGATAGAAGCAAAACTCGGCTGCACTGGCCCGTGAAACCTGGCAGTGTTCGGCTCAGAAACAAAGAAGGAATAGACTTTTCTTGTAAAAATGTTATTGGGATCAAGAGTCGCTAG